ATAGATTTGAAGGAGGAAGGCAGAGAAATATCATAGTCGCTGCGAAACGACGTTGCCTACTCGACGAAGGCAATATCAATTGTTCTTGCCCGGATCGCAAGTTTTCACGAACACGTTTTCCTTTCGAGAGATAAATTCATTGCATCCTCCCGCGGCGGAACTGCGATTCCGCGTGTCCTGTAAACACAAGCTGGCATTGTCTTCAACGGCGAGCCGGGAGCACGACGAGGCACGCTTCCCTTGTTGCACAAAAGCTCCGCGAAAGAACCTCTTTTCACGGAAGCACGGGAACTGTTTAAGCATATATCTTCCCCTCCGCGACGCTATTGAGGCTACAAGCTTCGCCTCGCTGTACACGTGAAATAAGTGTACCTCACCTTTCCCGCATTAGGGCGAGGAGTAAATTTATTAGCCTGTAATCGTGTATATTAGAAGCTGAATGGAACATTAACCCCTTGACCTACAACAACCAGTTAGACTCGTGGTGAAGATTTTCAACATTACTCGGTTGATTCGAAATCAAAGTGAATACTATTCCTCTGTAATCAACTGTTATACTTAAAAGGAAATATAGGCATAATATATGTAGCATAATATATGTAATTAAACAACGCACACACTATTTATATACTCAGATGCTCTTGTCTCACTCACACACTTTCTAGAACATTCTTTCATCACCATGCATTAACTTCACATATATTTGGAATATTCTAGATTCTTAAAAAAAAGAACATTATTAACATATGAAGAAAATCAATATAATCTAGAATATTCCAACGCTTTGAACATTCATTCAAAACGCGCTCACACACACAGTTCCCACATATATGCTTAGAATTTTTCTCTTTTTCCAACAAATTATTAATGAAAAAGCAGCCGTATCGGCCAGAATTGAGAAATATATCATAGGTTAAGGGGTTAACCCTCTGTAGGCCCGTGTAACTTTGAAGTCACGTATCAGTATATTAGCATCTTGTCGATTTATTTCATTCTGCACTCAAAGCGGTGAATAAAATTAAGTAATCAGTAAACTTCAACTTTTATATACTCAGGCGTGAAAGTTTAACGTTACTATAACTTGAAAGTTACAAAACATATTCGTTTGATGAAATTGACAGTAACGAACATATTGTTAATTTGTATTCACATGAGGATATTTATTAATTTTGTACTGCATAGATTGTTATAATCATGAACAAAAATTCGGCCCGTAGAGGGTTGAGGTGACAGACGCGAGGCTAGATTGCCCAGGGAAGCGATCTAGCCTTGTAATTTCAGTTAACGCCGGCTTAATGCAGCGGATCCTTAGGGAATCCTGCACGGAGCTAAGTTCATCATGGCCGCCCGACCGCCGAAATGACGGATCAACTTGGAATACAGTTAACAACGAGCTACTACACGCTACCCGCTCGCTGGAGCCGCTCGAGCACAATTTTGAAGCCACCGCTTCATTTATCTTTCCGGAACACAGCAGCTTTACTTTTCTCGTCCCAGTTCGTGGTTCGTTGGAACTGTGCTGCGATCAGTAGCTCCACATAAAACGAAATTAGTGGAGGATTTCCGGTTGGAGTGAAAGCTGGAGCGCGTGCAGTAAATTAGGATGACTGTGGATGGGTGCTTTAGAAACTTCCGATGTGAGTGTAGGCTGTCGGAACTGAGTGGGCGGTTCTAGATGCATGGGCCTACGTGCATCGCTACGGTTTTGTGTCGGACATCGATTAGTCAACAGGAAAGTGAGTGGTCGGCGAAAAGAGAAGTTTGTCAATCTTTCACACCAGTGAGAAGCCAGTATGTCCGGTGAGAGATGCAGAGCAATTTAGTGCTCTGTTGTTGTAATATCATTTATCACTAAATTGTCGGTATGTGAAAATATTCTTGAGCTTCTGGTTGCTTACCGCAATGCGTAGCGTTTCTTAAGCCATTTCGTAGTTCCAACGTTAAAACAGTCCTAATATTTAGTGCTCTGTTGTTGTAATACATCATTTATCACTAAACTGTCAGCACTTGAAAATATTCTTCTTCTCGCTGCTTACCGCATTGCGTTTCTTAAGTCATTTCGTAGTTCCAACGTTAAAACAGTCCTTACATTAGCAAAGGAAATAGTAGGTACCGACAATTCTTTCTGAAAAATACGGAGCCCGAGAGGTCAACATTTTGCGAGCTCGTAATTGCCGAGAAAACGCGTCGTTATTGTCCTCAAAGTTGTCTCGAACGAGTCCCGGCTGCTTTTCCAGGGGACAGAAGCCCCGTGTCGGTCGCACGGCGTTAAAGACACCGTGTAACTGGATATTTAGCGACGGAATATAAGGAATATGGGGACACAAAGTATAGCTGGCGAACCCGAAACGCTCTCATGAAAGTTGCACGCGTCCAACCGAGTGCGACGCGAGGCGCGATCGAAAGAAAATAAGAGTAAAAATCCCGGAGGCTGCTAACGAGGTCACTTTGTTATTCCGCGTTTGCCTTGTATTTTTATCATCTGATCCTTAAAAGTGCCCATTTGTTATATTAAACGAACGTCTCGCTGCGAGTATTTAATCCTCGGATGTCACTGTGACGATAAAAAGAGACTATGCCGGCGATGTTCAAGTTAAAAACATACAGTTGTGTTCATAAAATATTCATCCGCGTCCAGCGGACCCTCAACTGCGTTCAGCCTGGTAACGAAGTCACGTTGTTACTCCGTATTTCGTTTTCCTGCGGGTTCACGGTGGCTCTCGCGCGCGCTTCCTCTGACTCTCCTCCGCACTTGTATCGCGTGGCAAACTTATTGACGAAGCTCTCTCGCCCGGTACACAACGCAAGCAACGGAACTCTCATTAAGTCTGCTCGCGTTGAGTCGAACGTGTTCAGAGGATCCTCTCGTTGCGTCATCCCTTAATTCACTAAGGAGATATTCCCTCGGCCGGTCCCTGAAGAATTTACCCTTCGACTGTTCGCCGTCTATTTCCTTTATCGCCTTATTATCTCTCTTCTTATGAATCATTGAATGCGTCCCGTGCAGTATGTATTACTCCGCTGAAAATTTCATTCGGTCACTCCTCCCCCGCGCTGAGGACAGTTGATCTTGAATTATCTCTACCGCGTGTCTGACTGTGTTTCGCTGTTTCTACTTACTATGGAAATGGGTTTGTATATATAATATACAGAATCTGTTGTACTATGGAAAATAGCTAGTAAAATATCATTTGAAATAGCTTCTTTTTTAGCAATGATAATACGAAGCTCCTAAGTTCATACTTTCCACTATCACGTTTCGCATACCTCTCAGAACTTTACGAACTGTAACCTACAGCTGATAAAAACTGAGGAAACAAGTATTCCTCTTTTTACATCCCCGAAACTCCAATTTATACTTATACTCATAAAATAACGTTATTTCATTAGAAAATACTATGGTATAATAAAGAATTATTTGACAATTGAACTCTATATATAATGGCAGTAGTGAATATAATTTTAAACTTTATCGGATATAATTGTGAGATAACTAATTTGAATAAGTATATATGTATAGTATATATACTATGTGAATAAGTATATAAAATATAAGATCTGGAAATTTACAGAAAGTAAATATTATATATCTTAGATACTCGCATCTAGTTTAACTTCCGACTAATTGTTAATTGGAAAACGACGTTAACCCTTTGCGGTCTGAAGTGCTCTTGGTTTCTCACTTTGAGGTTCGCGTCGACGTCCGTTCATTCAATTACAGCATAATATGACGCTCTATTTATTTATTCAAGAATATTTGGGAGTCATTGAAATGTTACCTTTAAATGGTACAATTGTGGTACTACAAATAAATATAGAAAAAATGGTTAAACCAGAGGTTGCAATAAAATAGAATGTCTGACTCGACATAGGACTGCTATGGGTTAATGGTATTTAAATATGTTTTATTTAAAAAAACATAGGAATAGGTAATTGAATAAAATATAAATAAACAGAAACGATATAGCTCGCAATGTACAGGTCTTTTCTCTTCTCAGGTCAACGCAAGTCTCCAAATCTCTATCCATCCGTACTTAACACTAAAACTACCAAGCAGTTAAATCCACTTTTCGAAATTCTTCTATAGAAACTCCAAGAATGCATATATCGAGACATCAATCGATTTACAACTCAATTTGCGTATTGGTAAATTAATTTCTTTAATAATTTCTTAGAGAAACATCTGTTATCTTTCTAATAATTGCAAGAAAAAAGCATCAAGAATGGGTCATTTTGATCCGTCTGGTAGTTTTAGTGTTAAAAATCATTCTCTCCCATCAAAATTTTCCATTCTACTTCAGGTGGAAATTTCATTTGAAGATAATACATTGATAATAGCAAAGTAGTTGTTTCCTTTGATCCGTGGGTAATGAACAACATTGATTCTTGTTAAATTAGTTTAGAAATCTTCATCACGACTCTCACTCGTCATTATACGGCAAGGGGTTAAAAATCATTCTCTCCTCCACAAGCACTCTTCTTACTCACACTTCCAACAAATTCTCAGTCACATCCTACTCTCACCACCACGCACTCATCATCCTCCGCTTACGTATCCTTCACTCGCTGTTCCACTGTCTCAAAACCACGATACTACAAATATCCTCCTACTTCCACCAGATCCTCACCTGCACTCCTAACGAAATCACATTGTTACTCTATTTCATCTCTACATCCTCACAATTCCAAAATAATTCTCAACCTCCCTTCAACCGGTCCGCTGCATCGTCGAAAGCCCTAAAACCCCGAGCCAGTTAAAAGGAAAGAGCGAAGGTAACGTAAAACGAATCTCGCGTTTCCAAAGAGAATCGAGGACGAGGGAATCGGCGGAGTTTCTAAGTAATCGCGGCGATCGGAAGAATCCGAGCAGTATATCCCTGTTCAGAGGACAGTACAATTTCCCCGGACTCAGTGGAATCGTTCCCGGACGATCGTTCGAGAGCCACTTCTCCGTTCGCGTCGTTTCCCGGGCTAACGTTGAATTCTTTTCTAATTCGCAGCGCGAGGGTCGCCGCCGATGGGCAGCAGCTGAACACGCCCCTGGAGGAGAATATTAGCGCCGGGCGGCGAGAGGGAGCGATCAGGATGTGAGGACGGACGCGTCCACCGTGAAACGTGACGTTTGCGCCGCGTGCTACCGAAAAACTATCGAGAAGGGCAAACATGTTCAAGTCGCGCACGTCGGTCTCGCCGTTCCTGGTCACGTGGCCGACCACGTCGTCGACGATCCTCAGGTCGGCGTCCGGGATCGGGACGACCGTGCGTTACACGAGCATCAGCGTGTACGACGTGATCGATCAAACATCCGTGAACACCGAGGGCAAGGCGGACGTGGAGTACACGCCGTACGAGAACCGGCCGGAGACTTACATCGTGCCGCTGGTGTTTCTGCTGATACTACTGATCGGACTGACCGGAAACGGCGTGCTCGCGCTCACCATACTGCGGCATAGCAACATGAGAAACGTTCCCAATATTTATGTCTTCTCGCTGGCGCTCGGCGACCTGCTGGCACGTGTTCATTCTTACTTCACACGTAGTTCCATCGGTTTATGCTCGCTGGAGCGTCTGTTCTTGTTTTCGGTGGTTGGACGGGGATGAACGAACTTTGAATGATCGTGGCTATGGGATTGGTGTCTTCGAACTCGAGCTTGGGGTTTTGAAATTGATATTGAGAGTTTTTGATCTTCTTTCTTGGTAATCGTTAACCACTTGCGCTGGAAAGACGCAACGTCGAGATGTTTCTATCCCAAAATTCTCAATGATGTGTTTCATACGTTGATAATCTTGTTGCATTACGCCTATTAGATTATTTCGAAATGTGTCACTCTATATGGAATGATTGACAAACAGAATAAGTGTACATATCAGCGTGAAATAGGTAAAAACAAAATTCATCGCAGGAGACGGTCAAATTTCTGAATTCATTTCTAGCGCAAGTGGTTTATGGAGCAATGGATAATTTTACTTGGGTTTGATGCTTTGTATATGGCAACAAACGTCAGTTTATTTTTTTTGTCGTCAGTTAAGTATTGTGGTAGGTCACTGGTAAGTAAACTTGAAATACTTCCGGTCCGTTAAGGGTTAAACTGGAATTTCTTGGGGTATAGTTTTATAGTTTCATGAAAATAATTGGGACGAGAATTGTTGAACCCCTTGCTTTATGGTTTCATATATTACCACGAGATTCTTATATTACCAGAAGAAGAAAATCATATACATTTATTACAAAACTCGTCGATAATTAGAAACATTACCTTACTTTAATTTCGAGAAGTAAATAATCGTAATGCTTCTTGGATTACAAGTGAAATATTCGCAGAGGATACCGTAAAGCAAGGGATTATTCCACGATCGCGGTGTCCCGACGTTATCGCGTGTAATTTCCGGAAGGTTGGCAATTAAGGCGTTTAGTACGACTTGCCCGTCCAATTATCGAGATACACGTGGCACGTGGCCTCTGCGAAGACACCTCGTTTCGCGATATCTTAAATATCCGATGGATCTTAACACATTGTTGACCGGCAGTTCTACGCAGAAGCTATGCTACGTCACCGATCATTATCCCTTAATTAAAAGCGAAAGTGAAACAATCTGAATAAGCTTCAATATATCTTCGGGCATACCTTTTAACCCATTCACTGCCAGTCACGAATATACTCATAACAAGAGATTGCCAGTTTGGTACCATCTTGGTTGCATTTGAAATGTATCGTAATATAAAGCAAAATAAATTGAAAGTACAAATGAAATCACACACCTTATACTAGCAGTGAATCGGTTACTACAAGATTTGTCATTGTTACAAAAGAACAAGGAATATTGTATAGAACGTCTAAAATTCCCATGGCAGTGAACGCGTTAAATAAATTTTAGTTGGCTTTTGCAATATTCTACACCGCCCTGCACTTCAAAAATTGAAACGGCCCATGCTAGTACGAACACGAGCTAACTCGTGGCCGGTCAACAATGCGTCAACCCGTTGCACTCGAGAGGACACTCAGTCACCGCGTGATTCGATACAACAAAACTATGAAGTCGAATATTTAATATTTCAAATTAAAGTTTGCATCGCTACGTGAAATATTTAAATAAAACAGTTCCTTAATTTATCTATGAATTATCGTTAAGTTAGTTTCAAACGATACGAAAACGTTGAATATTTCCATTGAGAAACTTCCGAGTGCAAAGGGTTGAATTAACGCGACGCGCGCGAGCATTCTTTGATTCGTCTGTCCAACGTTACACCGTAGGTGATAGTGACAACGGTCCCGTTCATCATCATCCTCTACATAGTGGACTCGTGGCCTTTCGGACTGGTGCTGTGCAAAATCTCCGAGTGCGCCAAGGATATATCCGTCGGCGTGTCCGTGTTCACGTTGACAGCGCTCTCCGCGGACAGGTTCTTTGCCATCGTCGACCCCATGAGGAAACTTCACACCACAGGTACGCGCGTACAAGTTCGGACACGCGTGCTATTCTCTGCGCGAAGCTTAACTTTGGAATTGTCCTGAACAAACGACGTACAGACACAATGCTCGGCTAAAATGAAACATTCGCCATACGCAGGTACAAGCGAGTAGAAAATACGAGGAAGCTTTCGGTAACAAAAAACGTTGCAAATAAAACCTGAAGATTATCTCTGAGATCGAACGTTTTTTTCAACATTAAGCTCCAACATTTCCGAGGATCGCAGGTTTTCTAGCACGCTTAAAACGTTCTTCATGTTTTTGTAAATCGTATTGGATAAATAATAAATAATCCCGAACGAACGCGTTAAAAGCAACAATTTACGATGCATCAAGATTTCGTCCCGGGGATTAATTCTGAAATATTAATCGATAATGCGATGGATTGCGCGCAGAGACAATTACGATTTCAATAATTCAGCCAGACGAAGCCGTGCGAGCTTCTAATTAAATGCGAATCCCATTAGCACGGATTAATCTTCGTGATTTAAAGTCCTGTCGCTATGTCTGGGATTTAGTTTTTCGCGGGAGAATGTTGGAACGCGATAACTGTGGCAAAACATGCGAACCGTTTCGGTTGAAACCAGAGATACGCGTTAGCAACCAACGGATTACGGTTTGTTCTCGTTCAAGGTACAGGAAGGAGAGCGACGCGGTTCACTGTGATCGTCGCCGCGATGATTTGGCTGTTGGCCATTATCTGCGCCATTCCAGCTTCCTTTTCCTACATCAAGAACTTCCGGGTGAACAAGAACGTGAGCTTTCAGGTGCGTCCGAACAGAATCTCCGCGGAAATCGGTTTATTGCCTGAATCGCTGCAACATCGCCGCGCATACGGATATTGCCTCGCGATTTACTTGTTTTTCTCTGGCAACCAGCTGCAAGCCACGCCGGGAATCAGTGATATCTAAAATCAATGCTTGCCTCGAGGCGGAATGACAATATTCTTATTTCACTTCTATTTTCCCGAGTTTTTCAAATGCTCCGCACGAAAGACCTTGGATTCTTAAACTCTTCGTTGGGTTATTCTCTTTTGAATAGTTTTTCTTATATATTTTTTTACACTTGAAGATTTAGATACGAAAAATGTCTTGATCAATTTTTAGTATAATACAAATTAACCCCTTGGCGTACTTACTTTCGCCACTAAGCTCATGTACCATTTTACGACAATTTGGAAGAAATGCAACGAAATTGTCCATTCTACTTCAAGTGAAAATTTTATTTGAAGAGAATACAATGATAATAGCAAAATAGTTTGCTATGATCCGTGGGTAATAACATCGATTGTTGTTAAATTAGTCTAGAAATCTTCATCGCGAGTCTCGCTCGTTATTGTACAGTAAGGGGTTAACCGAAGTACACTTCAAGTTTTTCCAGGGTTTAATGAAGTACACTTGTCTGAAGGTTAAAACTGACTTTTTCAAGGCGTGCTACCCATTCCCAATAGAATTCGGTCCAAATTACCCAAAGACGATCCTGGTCTGCCGTTTCTTCATTTACTACGCGATACCTCTGAGCATCATCGCGGTGTTCTACATTCTAATGGCGAGACACTTGATGAAGAGCACCAGGAACATTCCGGGCGAGATGCAAGGTCAGGTGAGTGGAAGAAAATAAGGATCAACAGTTTCTCACACGTGGAATCTCTCCGAAAAATTACGAGATTCTTCAATTGTTCGCTCGCTAGCCGCTAGCGTCCGTGTAATTTATTTTAGAACGTGATTGTATTAACCCTTTGCCAGATGATTTGACAGAGCAACATTATAAACTTTGGTATTTACCATTGCCCTCTGTACGCTGCATCGATACGTGAAATATTGAAAGAAAATAGCTTTAGTTCCCTAATTCACATGTGATTTCTTAATAAATTCATTTCAGAGTATCTCGTCTACATCTAATTAGAACGTATCGGATATTTCAAGTGAGAGTCTCTCGAGTGCAAAGGGTTAACCCTTAGCACTCCAGATGGTTTTGTAATTTATCAGCAACCGTGATTAATTTTTATGGTATCTCTAGTGAAAATGAAAAACGCTGTAACATTCCTTCAATCTTTTATTTTCCTTCTGTGCACAAAATTTGGATGCGTGGAAAGTCTAATAGTTTTAGGGTAGTTTCTTTGATTCGTTAGAATATTTCATATTATAACTGGTGCAATATTGGCTACAGAGTTCAAAGGGTTAAATTCAGTGAAACTCGTTCGTAATATAATAAAAGGACATATCGATTTTCGTCGATATTCGCCGAAATCTCGAAGATAGTCTAGTGATTTACGGTAATCGAGAATGACAGGTCGGCGCAGACGTTTCATCGCGAAAGTCGAGGGGAAAGTTTCGGGTGGCAGTCTCGCAGAAAGAATCACAATTTAAGCGAGACCCCGTGGCTCGAGGGTCGACAAACGGTTATTCTTCAAGAACTTATTCTTCAACTCGAGTTCGTGTAACCGTCGGATAGAGGGTTGTGCTTTCGGGCGAAGTTTGCGGGAGAAAAGCGGGCGAACCTAATCTAGATCTAACATAAATGAAGCCAACCACAACCGCCCCTAATGTAACCAAGTCTAACACAACCAAATTAACACAACATAACTTGATATTTGGACTCGACCCATCCTTGGCATAATTCAAGCTAACCCGAGCCTGTCACGGACCTGACATAATCAACTTTAGACGTAACTGGACTAATCTGATCCATATTATAATCCGTTCCAACGTTTCGGATGTAATAGGACAAAACTAGCATAGACAATGTTGAACAGACGAAACATCTAATTAACTTCTGATAAACATCTATTTAACTATTACAATTCATTCAAACTCTCAGACTAATGTTTGTTTGCAAGAATATAATTATTCGCATAATGCAAGAGAGTTTAATCATTTTAAATCCAATTACTGAATGTACCAAGTGAAAGTCTAGTAATTTGATATCATCATTAAAATTAGTATCATCTATTCTCTAAATCTATTACCGCCATTAAGCCATCGTTAAATAAGTCGCTCAGAAACCAATGCGGTTAAGTCTATTTATACTGGAAATTAATGTTTTGGTTTCTAAAATGATTATATAACATGTTCGGAAGCTACAAGGTCTCTCTAACCTAGAAGGTACAAAGGAAAGAGTAAATTCTTTAACAAACTAAACAGAATATTATTTATTCCATTAGAATCTAGAAAAATCAGAAAATATCAAAAAATCGACTTAACACTTTGCTGTTTTTAATAATTATTATTAACCCTTTCCACTCGAGAGGTGCCTCTCATTCACCATTTGATTTCACACAGTGAAACTATGAAATCTGTTGTTTAACATTATACCCCGTATAATGCATCAATTTGAGAAATATTGAAATAAAATAGCTTCGTTCCTCGACGTGTGATTTCTCTTCGAGTTAGTTTCATAAAATGTTGCCTTTGTCTCATTAGGAAATCTAGAAATAGTTCTAGTGAAAAACTTCCGAGTACAAAGGGTTAAAGAAGGCATTAAGAAAATAAATCACGCGAGCGCGACAGCGGCTGGCAGTGTTAACTATATTAACCCTTTGCACTCGACAATACTTTTCAGTGCAGACATTATTTTCTGACGAAATATTTAACAATATTATTTGCAACTTACATAAAGGAACATCTTGCACAAATTATAGGGCAGAATTGTTTTATTTCTGTTTCATGCGTTAATACCTCACCTGACATTTCATATAGAATTTTTCATTTTACAATTTTCTTGCGTTCGGTTAAACGACGACTAAGAGTCGCGTCTCGAGTGCAAAGGGTTAACTTCCGAGCGACTCGAGCATCAACGCTAACGAGAGTAACCGAAGAATCCCGGGTGTGCTTGCAGGTGAGGCAAATGAAAGCCCGCAAGAAGGTCGCCAAGATGGTAATGGCGTTCGTGATAGTGTTCGCCGTGTGCTTCTTTCCGCAGCATGTCTTCATGCTGTGGTTCTACATCCACCCGACCGCGGCAGAGGACTACAACACGTTCTGGCACTGCTTCCGCATCCTCGGCTTCTGCCTGGCGTTCATCAACAGCTGCATCAATCCGATCGCGCTCTACTGCGTCAGCGGGACATTCCGAAAATACTTCGACAGGTGATTCGATGAAAACCACCCCGCGACCCTGTTTTCCCCGATTTTATTTCCCCCGGTTTAAAGCACTCGACCTGCAAACTTTCCCTCCCCCCGGCTCCGAGCGGGCGAGCGATTAAAACACTGTTCGGAGGCGCGAAAATTCATCGAGAGCAGCGGTTTTTCATATAAATATTCACGCCGGGAACAGAATTACCGTCGCTCCGGAGCGAAATACCGTGTTACCCGAAAAAACTTGGCAGCGATTTGACACCTGGCAGTTAACCGACGCGACCTACTTCCATAAATTCATGCTCGAACGATAAAAAATTTATCGGACAACGGGCGTCGGTTTTATTGCAGGCCGATGTAACGCCGCTTCAATTAATACTGTAACGCGTTCGCCGTTTCTTCTTGCTGATTCCCGGGAATTACTTTCCGAGGTGATCGAGTGATCGCCGCTGAGCTGTTATTGACAGATCGCTGAACGCGCGGGGCACTTGCGTAATACTTGTTGAACAATCGGGATTAAAATTCGAATTTCAGAAACGAGGATCGCGATTATCCGATCGGTTCAATTGAAACCGCAGCAATCTGAAAACCGATTCTCCGAACCGACGGTATTTCGGGGATGATTATACCCATCGTTGAATACGGAAACAGGCTGAGGATGATTACGCATTCGTAGCATGATAGCTTGACGGGGAACGATGTGTGCTTTAATAAAGCGTTAATGAGATTTCTCGTTCGTCGTCAACTTTTCGGTGATATTCAACGGATGGAACATTTGAATTACTGTTTAATTTTACTGTTGCACGGAATCAAGCGCAGTAGAATGTTTCGCGCATATTCTCGCTTCATTGCGTCGTAACGCAGTGGTTTCCAATTCGTTCCCGCGTAATCCTTTCGGAGGGATTAAAAAGTATACCCGTCACTAAGATAACTTTCGCATTATTCCTATAAATATCCATACTATTCAAATACATATAGATTCATCTATAACTGCACTGAAAATAAGAAGAATCCATTTTACAGAGTAATTATTAATGCTTCATTACCGAAGAACATATCATTTCCTAGCCCAACCAAGACCTAATCAATTCCTCCAGAAAAATTAAAAACCCTCAAAAAACATAACTTTCACATTATTCCTATAAATATCCATATTAACCAAATACACGTACATTCACCTGTAATTTTTCTGAAAACAAGAAGAATACATTTTACAAAATAATAATTAATGCTTCATTACCAAAGAACGTATCATTTCCTAGCCTAATCAAAATCTAATCAATTCCTCGAGAAAGATTAAAAACTACACCCTCAAAAAAGATAACTTTCACATTATTCCTATAAATATCCATATTAACCAAATACACGTACATTCACCAGTAATTTTTCTGAAAGCAAGAATAATCCATTTCGCATACTGCTAATTACTGTTTAATCAACGACGAGCGTATCATTTCCTAGCCTAACCGAAACCTAATCAATTCCTCCAGAAAAATGAAAAACTACACCCTCAAAAAAGATAACTTTCGCATCAATCCTATAAATATCCGTAAAATATCCGTAAAATATCCATATTAACCAAATACACGTACATTCACCAGTAATTTTTCTGAAAGCAAGAATAATCCATTTCGCATACTGCTAATTACTGTTTAATCAACGAAGAGCGTATCGTTTCACTGCTGTCCGTCACGCAACTGACATTACAACCTCCCTCTCCCAAAAATGATTCTTTTCCGGCCCGCGTCACAGGCCGCGCTCCGCGGAGGGTTGAAAATTTCAATTTGCATCAAAGTGGTCCGGCCGTCGGGCCGAAATCTTCATAAAAATACCATTCCGCCGTAGGTATCTACTTTGCTGCATACCCGGCAGGATGCGCGGCCGGCAGCGTCGCTCGTCAGACCTCAGCTCCCGCGGCCGGGGGCAAAGTTTCTCGATGATGAGCTCGAGGAGGTACATGGGCGACTCCCGGAGGGGTCATCGCGGCACCATGCACATGGCCATCCTGGATAACGACGTTAGGACCAGCCTGCCGATCAAGGAACAGGAAACGACCATCACTCTGACCGGATGCCCGAACGGCGCCGACGAGGCTCTCAGAAGTCATCGGAATTCAGCGACGGAATAGTGAATTAGCCGGGCACCTTGTTCCTCGAAATACCAAAGGACTGAATTATTCAGCAGCAACATGGACCTGTCGATGAACGACACGGTGTGTTAGCCAGTTTCGGTCGCGGCAAAAGCGTCGGGGCGACGGATGTTACCGCGAAGTTGCTGCGCCGTGACGTTACACGGAATATTTTGTGCCCCGCGGAACTGACGTCGGAACTATGCATAAACCATCTGATTCTTAACACTGGTACCACCGAGTACTTGAATCGAGTATTCAAAATTCCCCGTGAGAGCCATAACGTGTTAACACGTTGAGCGCCATGTCACCGATTGACGCTACTGGGTTGCTTGAAAGCAATCGTAACGTGCAAGATAACCGATGTCGAATGATGTTTAATAACGGAGTTGATAATAGTGCGCTGCAATGGTTGCAACGAATAATTAATAATTTCCCCTGATTTTCTTTAGTACAAACGAATGGATCTATGAAAAATAGAGATTGTCGTGACGCTTAACGTATTGAGGTTTCAACGCTTATACAGCTAATTAGATGTTACTAAATTAGTTAACACATTGCGTGCTGGTAACGAGAAATCTCGTTTTTATATGAAGACTCTCAGCAAATTAACTTTGATAATTACCACAGCATTCAAGGAAATATAAAGTTTGGTTAGAACTACTTGTCCATTTGAAATATATTACGTAATATGATACTTGAATTTTTTTGTAGATAGCGATATAAGTGGATCTCACTGAAAATCCGCACATCAATTTTCTGATAATTAGCCGGTACGCAATGTGTTAAGAATTTCTCAAACGAGTACCTCTTCCTTTCAGTAATTACAAAACGAATACTTATGCCGATTTTGAAGTTTGACTACAGGCGACACTGAAATTGCTAACCGATTCCTAGTTTCTATCTCGATTTGGTAACACACGGAAGCTTTCGTAGAATATTTCTTTAAATAACTTAATCTCATAATGTCCAAAGTGAAATATATTCGATCGAAACCTCGGCATTGTAATTTCAGTGAGAAGGTACAGAAAAGTCGATTCGCCTGACGCGGTTCTAGGGTTGGTAACGTCCGACGTCTCGACGCTCGCACCACCACGACCTCAGCGTCGGAAATGGAAAAGTGTCCCACGGGAACGCGCCGCGTCCGCCGAAATAAATGAAGATCGATCTTGAACCCTGACGACGCGCGGGAAACGAGGCATCGTGTGCGAGCGAATTAACCATTGACTGGCCACAGTGGGTTCGGTGTTCCGGACAACAGTGACGTTTCTCCTCGGTTCACTGCTCGCGTGTGCCTGCAGCCAGCACGAGAAACTGGCGCAATTTGTAAATTGCATCGAGGGACGGGTGGTTGAGCCGTGTACACCGGGAACGCGTCGATTTCCCGAGCAAAACTCGGCCGCTCGACCGGTGGCTGGCTTTTTCGAGTACTTTACAGTGTACATACCTGTCTTAGAGTTAAGTCGACCAAGACACTTGACTATCGTTTAAGCTTGATCTATGTATAGTTGACTCTCTATGGTATTTTCTATCAGGTATAATAATATCTAGTCTATCCAGTATAATAATATCCAGTGAATGCTTAAACGTGTTTCGACTATACCTCAACCACACACTGGGAATTTGGCGAAGAGCTGAGCAGAACATTCTGTGATCAACCCTTGGATCTCTTTAGGTTAACTTTGTCCCTTTATTCTATTAGCCTGTGCTTCTAGAAGTCTCGCGGAGGATCGATGACCATCCGGAACAAGTTTTCCCGTTGTAATTCAATTGCGGCGTTGATACTTTCCTCTCTACGCAACGCGGCCCCTTTTTCTTCTGTAGTTGAAGCTGTTCGTGTAGGTGTAAGCCGTGACCGCGTTGGATTAGTTTTAGCTTTCAGCTTCAACAATGGGTCGCGGAAGGCGCTGGAAGATAATACGTGGAAATCGGTTTCTTTTGTCGGGAGTTTCCAGGCTAAACGTGGATTCTGGAGCTTATTAAAGTTTTGTGAAACCTGTTTGTTTGTTGTGCTCGAATTTGATATCGATGCTGGCATTCGATTCGTATTGTTAATGTGGAGAAATTCAATTAGTTTGTAGGGGTACGAGGAATTAGGGGAAGTTGTTAATAGAACTTTCTGTGACTGGGAGTTTGTTCGAGTTTCTAGGGATTTCGGTTTCTTGGAATTGAAGTATTTAGATGCTTGGTGCTTTGGGATCCAAGTATTACAGGATCCAAGTATCTAGGGATTCAAATATCTAAGAATCCAAGTAAGTAAGGATCCAAGTATCTAAGGATCCAAGTATCTAAGGGTCCAAGTATCTAAGGGTCCAAGTATCTAAGAATTCAAGTATCTAACAATCCAAACATTAAAGAATCCAAATATCAAAGAATCCAAGTATCTAAGAATCCAAATCTCTTCGATTCTAAACATCAAAGAATCCAAGTATCATAGGATTCAAATATCTACGGATTCAAATATCTAAGAATTCATGATCTAAGAATCCAAATATCTAAGCATCCAAACATGAAAGAATTCAAACATGAAAGAATTCAAACATCAAAGAATCCAAATCTCTTCGAATCTAAATATCAAAGAATCGAAGTATCATAGGATCCTAGTATCTAGGGATTCAAATATCTAAGAATCAAAGTAACTAAGGATCCAAATATCTAAGAATCCAAACATCAAAGAATCCAAATCTCTTCGAATCCAGACATCAAAGAATCCAAATCTCTTCGAATCCAAATCTCTTTAATTCCAAATCTCTTCGAATCCAAATCTCTTTAATTCCAAATCTCTTCGATTCCAAATCTCTTCAAATCCAAATCTCATCAAATCCAAATCTCTTCGAATCTAAACATCAAAGAATCCAAATCTCTTCGAATCCGAACATCAAAGAATTCAAGTACCAAAGCATCCAAACATCAAGGAATCCAAGCACCCAAACATGCAAACATCTAAAAATCCAAGCATCAAAGAACCCAAGCACCCAAGCACCCAAACGCTACCGCACTAAGAAGTCCAATCGCACGTCAATAATCAATACCGAAAAAAGGGAATGGAGAAAAAGCACAGAAGTACAAAAAGCTGCACATAAATTACGTATATTAACTTTTTTACGATCGAAGCGCGTCCGCTACAGGAATATCGATTCCGAAATCCTTTAACGTCGACGGAACAGATGTTGCCCGTCGCACTCCGTTATCGTCTCTCCCCCGGTCACGTCCCATCTCCCCGAGCACAACGCGAAAGCGTGGGTTCCGGGTCGATCTAGGAACCGTGTCACGCTCGATGGGCCGCGCTGATCGTCATGATTTCCACGGCCGCTTCGAAAAACGCGACTATATAAATCCAACTTCACGTCGCGCGAGTTCCTCGGACAGGAAGGGATCGTTGCTCGAAGGATTTCCGTGATCGTGCGCTTGCGCCCGCCGCGATTCCAGTCCTCGACATTTGACCTTCCGCGCGGCAACCGCTTCACCGAGGCTCTACGAGCGTCTTGGGAGAGAGCGCGCCCGCGGAAATATGCCTGGCGGCCATGTACTCGAACGACTACGACGACGGCTCGCTTATGAATGCCTATATTAGATGGAGCAGAAGGTAGATGTCACTTTCGCCTCATGTCGTTCCGCCTTATTGTTTTCAGCGATAACGCGCGTCACGAGGGCGGCCGTTCCTCCCGGAGAAGGCCAAAGGGAGTTATCGAATAAATTTCGTTTCTAGACTCGCGAGACTACACCAGCACACGCTAACAATCTGCCGGGAGAACGAACGAATGCATCGGGACGATGAAGGTGTGTAATCGAGTCCGAATTAATTTACAATTACACCTTCGAATAGGTTAAGGGTGCTCGCTTTAATCGATTGAAAGGTTTTCAAAGTCGTGATACTTTTTTCAATGGAACAATTATGGACGGATTAATAATATATATTAAATCGACGCAATGAATATTAACCTTTCGCAGATCGACAATTGAATATATCGAAATAATCTAAACGGACACGAAATTCATTTGAAAATTCCACTCCGCCCGCTTGGATCCGGTTAATGTTAAATTAATGCGCATTCGATCGGCTCGTTGGAAGGGAAAAACTACGTTGCTAATCACCGTGCGCTGAATTTAGTTTAAATTGCTTCATCGGCTCGATTAGTTCTGACGGTTGCGCGTACGATTATCGAGCGAGATTTCGTACGTTCCGACGCGTGACAGGGAATTACCGATAAGTTCCGCTGTACCCTAGTCCCGGTGACGTTAAGCGGTCGTCAGATAGGTTCCCTTAACTGCAGAAAGTGTTGCAACTGTTTAATCTTCGAGCAGACAAACGATCTCGACAGAGAGCGAGGCGGTGAGGGCGGACGAGGAATTCTGCGCGAAGTGCAGGGGAGAGGAAGACGAGAGCGCGGCCGCGTTCCCTCACATCCAGGACCTCTGTCCTGCCGACAGACGAAGGATAGCCCAGCTGGTTAAGCAGTTGATCAAGTAAATTCCCGCGCAGCTCCCTCTTGCATCGCAATCTCGCCTAATCAATCCTTTGCCCTTCCGCGCCACTCGTTTCCCGCGTCGCGCTTGTCGACTTCGGGAACTTTTACACGGTGTTTAATAAATCTCGAGAACTTCCGGAAAAATTGCGAGCCTCGGCTAATACCCTTGCATGCTAAAATCCGAGCTCTACGAAGTTGCAATCTAGTTACACCACGGTGGCTGGCGTGACAATGTTTCCGCGGAGACGCGAGTAGAGGATTCGTGTTTGAGTTGTGTTTATGAAACATAGCGGTGGATCGTTGTAATTAACTTCTGGGTGATTCTGTTACTGAATAATAGTATTCGAAGCATTCGAGAGAGCTCGGACACTGGTGTTCGTTATATAATTTCCGAGAGAGCATTGGAGAGGCTTTGAGAGCGTCGGAGTTGAATTACGATGGGACGAATTGAATCTATAGAGAAGAAAATTCATGGTTCAGCGGCGTGAATAATTTTTACAGGGGAATAACGGATTAAGTGCAACAGGTTATCTATTGAAACACTCCATCAGCAACAAAGACTCGTCCAATTAATTCGTCATTCACAAGCTAATCCTCTTGTCCACCGATCACGCCCAAAAGCGTATTATATTAATCCCCCATTGTCGAAGCGGAAGGCTAAAGCCCGCCTCCCAAGCAACGCACCGAGCCAGCTGAAACGCATAAAATCCTTAAGCCCCACACGGCGGCGACGAAACTGACGTAAAAGATCAATGTACCCAGCGGCGCTGTCAGTTCCGACGGAAGGTCCTCGGTTATGCCATCCACGCGTAACCTTTCCGCTCCCCGGATTTCATTTTCCACCGCCGGGAAACTCAATATATATCTCAATATTTCCTGGAGACCCGTTCGGAGCGTCCCCGACCCTCGGCCCGTTCGATTCCTCGGATCACCGGCGTTCCTCCCATTCCGCGGGGCATTTGTCATCGGAAACGAGGTCCATGCGTTCCTGGAACAGCCATTAAAACTTGGGCAACCCGATTTGTAGCAGTCCCGCGGAGCCCGATTAAACCCACGGTTGATAACCGCCGTTCGCCGTTCCCAGCGCAGAAGGATTAGCCCCGATTATTCTTCGAGCAGTCCGCGTATCGGAACTCCCGGATCGATTTCGATTAAGATAGCATCGGAATAATCGCCGGTGTCCCGGCCGCGCAGGCTGAAATGACGAGAGTAAAAGTGAAGCTCGGCGTCCGGAGGATCGCCGAGATCCCCCGGAGCTGAATATCGCAATGAAACCCGGCTCCCGAGACTCCAGCCGAGCGAATCGACTGTAACGAACCAGTCCCGGTGACCCGTAACTTCACCTCGAAACAGAAAATCCCGCCGAGCGAGTTTCCCGGCGACGCCGGCAACGCGGCCGGATAAATTGAGCTCGGGCCGTCGCAGATCCCCCGCGCGAAATTGCGCGCAACTTTCGTCGTTCGCTGCGGTATTCCCCATTTCGAGGGTGTAGAGAGACTCCGCGTCCCGCTTTCACTCTTTCTCGCCGCAGGTGCACGAAGGAGACGCGCGACGCCAGATCCGAGCTGGTCGTCAGTGAATCTGAGAAGCAAGCGATGAGGACGCAGTATCAGAAGACGCTGGACAGACGGGAGCACGAGGCGAAGGAGCTGGAGCTTCAAGTATTTTTCTGCGTTTTTTCATTTTGCTGGATCTGGGGTGCTTGGGGGTCAGATTTTGCGATGGGGTTGATGGGTAACGCGACTCTGCTTTCGAACAGTTTGGGATTCTAGCTTTGAGACGCTTTAGGGGTCGTTTATCCGAAGTGGTTCGTTTGTGGGTGGACAGAGGTAGGTTGTTACTTAACACCCGTTGCGTCTACTATATTGTGAGGCTCGTGA